TTTTTTTTTAAAAAAGAAGGGGATATGTAAAGGGAATAAAATCTGAGTACAAATTTTATATTAAAAATTGAAACAAGCCCAGCCAGGCATGGCTCAGCGGCTGAGCGTCAACCTAGGATCCAGGCGATTGGGGTTCGATTCCCGGTCAGGGCACATGCCCAGGTTGCGGGCTCGATCAATGACTCTCATCATTGATGTTTCTAGCTCTCTCTCCCTCTCCTTTCCTCTCTCTGAAATCAATAAAGATATATTTTAAAAAAAATTGAAACAAGATTTTTTTCTATATGGCTTAAACAGAAGAACAAAGTAAAATTGTGATTAGGCAAGTCAGATAAAGTAGATGAGGAAGGGTAAAATAAATCAGTTATGGTAAGAATCATCTTGAGATTTAATTAGAAATAAGATCATAGGTTTATTGTTCTACTCTATAATTAGCCATCTTAATAAGATAAATGAACTTATTGTAATAATAAATTCAGAATATAGAGCAAATAAATTATAAGCTTATAATATGTATGATAAAAAATTACATATTACATTTAGTAGACTGATCTCTCATTTAACCAGTATCCCATAAGTTTATTAAATGGTAATCTTTAGAGAGGCATTAGTTAGGCCTTTAACTGGTCTTTTCTTCCTACTTATTAGTTGTGCTAATGGAAATAACCCCAAATAAGAATAGGAGTTAATAAAGGGAAGCAAAGATTGATGAAGTTTGCAAATTGACGTTATGCTGATGGTGGCAATGTGGAGAGAAACCTTCATAAATAGAGAGCTTTGAATAGTCAAATGCTATAGTCACCATAGGGAAACAGTTTTAAAAGAGAAGAGACTTGGGTCAAAGTCAAACTTCACTTGCACAAGCAGTGTAAAAAGTTAATTAAAAGCAAACTCATTACATTCTTTCAATATAATACTGGTGTGTCCAAGTTGAGAACTCTTCAAGGTAAATTGTATTCCTAAGTAGCTTGTACCCAGCAGTCAGGACTGAACCCAATCATTGGTACCTAAGCAGGTAATAAGAAAACTCACTGTACCTACAGCTAGGAGGTTTTCCTCAGAATATGACATATGGCTTGTTTATTCATACATGTGAACAATAAAAGTAATGATGCCAATTTACCAAGTGTCAGCACCAACTATTCTCTCCAATATACTAGATTCTAGGTTGCTGTTTCTCATACTGGGAAACTAGGAAGGAATACGTGGCCCCCTGCCCAAAAGCATCTGAACAATGAAAGTGGCACCATTCATTACCTTAAAACAGGGTTCCTCAGACTCAGTGCTATCGACATCTGGGACTGGACAGCACTGCTGTGGGGGCTGTCCTGTGCATTGTAGGGCAGTTAGCAGCATCCCTGGTCTCCACCTACCGATTAGATGCCACGGAACTCCCAGCCCCCTAAAGTTCCACCAACTGAAAATGTCTCCAAACATTTCCAAATGTTCTTTGGGGGCAAAATTCTCCCCGATAGAGAGCCACTGGATTAAAATATAATAGGTTTGCATGTAAGGCAAAAATATTTTATCCCCATATATATCTTAACCTGATGATAGCTTAAAGAGAGTAGAATCATTTGTTACCTAATTATTCTGAAAATATTGGGGGTAGTTATTATAAACCTCTTGAAATTGTTTATTATATATCAATTTCATTCTAATCAAATGGTGAAGGATCACGTTTGATTAAAACTCTACCCCTTCTGCCCAGCCGATGTGGCTCACTGGTTGAGCGCTGACCCATGCACCAAGAGGTTACTAGTTCCATTCCAGGTCAGGGCACATCAGGGATTGCGGACTCGATTCCCAGTAGGGGGCATGCAGGAGGCAGCTGATCGATGTTTATGTTTCTCTCTCATCGATATTTCTATCTTGTTATCCCTCTCCCTTTCTCTCTCTCTAAAATCAATAAAAACACATTTTAAAAAACCTCTACCACTTCTATTCTAGAAAATTAGTGAGTAGTGCTAAATAATTGTAGTAGATGCTAGTTTTAAAAGTGCAGCGTTTTTTGCCCGGCCGGGCGTGGCTCAGCGGTTGAGCGTCGACCTAGGATCCAGGCGATTGGAGTTTGATTCCCGGTCAGGGCACACGCCCCGGTTGCAGGCTCGATCAATGACTCTCTCATCATTGATGTTTCTAGCTCTCTCTCTCTCCCCTTTCCTCTCTCTGAAATCAATAAAGATATATATTTTTTTAAAAAAAAGTGTAGCGTTTTTAAAAAATCTTATAAAAGCTTTCCATATTCAGTGATTAAAGGTTTAGTTGATATCTTTTAATGTGTCACAGCCAGATATATTTCCCAAAACATAAAAATGTACAAAGTAACATATTTTAAATGGTTTCACTGTTTACTGTAGATTTAGCTGCTATAGGTTTAATAAATTTCTGTTTGTGATGGTCAAAATTCAAAAGCAACATCAGTTCTCACTACCTCTTGTTTTATTACAGGTAAATGAAGCATACATATGCCCACATGCGTTTACAATTCAGATAAACTTTAAAAGGCAATTCGAATGAGTAAAAAGAATGACTCACATGTTTTCTTTTCATGTGATCTCATATTTAATTCACCCTCCAGAGCAATAGATCAATAGTTATATGCTGAGAAACAGCTTTTCAATACTATTGTGGAGTATGAAAACACATGGACAAGTCATTTCTTTTTCCCATCTCAGGGGACTGGGTGGGTGCCTTTCGTGATGCTCACGGTAAACAATAATCTCAACTTTTTATCTGTGTTCTCTAAACTTGGAACGTTGGAATAATAGTAACATATCCTATCTGCAATATAACCCAGTGGGTGTCATTCTGGTTTGAGGCTAACGACTGTCTGATAAACCAGTCTTCTGCTGGGAAGCTACAGGTGTAAGTCAATTACCCATATGCTTTTACTGGTAAATCAATGTTGATTAGTTAAAACCCATTTCATAGCTATCGAAGACCTCTGTTTCTTCTCACGCAGCAAGATGTAATGGATTTCATTAGTTAGTTGATATTGGAGATAAGCACATATCAGTGGTGCTCAACCAGGGGTGAGTTTGCAATAGACATTAAAGAACAATGAGATACTTTTGTTTGTTACTACTTGGGAGTACTACTGGCATCCAGCGGGTAGAAGCCAGGGATGCTGCTAAACAGCCTACCACAGGGCAGCCTCCCACAACACAACCATTGGTATATTTAATGGGACCACATAAAATTTATGGAGAATAACAACCTAAGGGATACTGACATTAAAGATGTCTTTATGATGTCTTCCTATTCAATTACATGGTATGAATTGTGTCCCTTAGGAATGTTTTACAGTTTTCTTGTTGACATTTTATGTTAAGTTCTTTCCAAGGTATTTTAATTTTTTAGTTTCCATTATAAGTAGGGCTCTTTCTTACCTTATATTTTCTAATTGTGACCTTTATACATCAAAGTAATTGACTTCTATAAATTAATATGGGACTCCACTAATTGTTTCTCCAATTTCCTTTATCTTTTTTCATCTAACTTTACTGCCTACTACCGGAATTTAATTCAATTTAATATATAATATGCTAGTAATAATGGAGTTAGTAGGTACCTTTTCTACACTATGTATACTATTTACTTTTGAGTTGAGAGTAATCGAGATTATCAAGTTAGAAAATTCCCTTTCTTTTGTTTTATTAAAAATTTAAAAAAAAAAAATTAGATGGTGAATTTTGTCAAATGTGTTTTAGGAATCTATGGAAATGAAAATATGAGTTTTCCCTTTAGATTTGCTAAGGGGATGAAGTGTATTAATCATAACTGTATCATTCCTAATACTAAACCATCCCTGCAATACTAAAAAAATCCTACACTTGGACAAAGTATATGTTTCTTCTGATGTACTCTGGATTCTGTTTCTAATATTTTATTTAGCTTTCTTTTGTCCTAAATATTCTTGAGAGATACTGGCCTGTTGCTTACTCTTTTTGAGAGGTCTCAATATTTGGTGGGTTTTGGTTTCATTGTTACATTGCCTTCAAAAAAAAGAATTTGAAGATTTTGTTCTTGTGAAAAAATTTAATCAATAAAAATCTAATATAAACAAGTAAAAATAGTTATTATAGTTTAGAATTTTGTGTGTTGACACAGTAATCACCACTTAAACTTAATTTCTAAAGGAGGAACAAATACCAAGTTTAAACTCCTAACTTAGAATAAAATTCCTATTTAGGCATTATTGGGTTCTGTCTTTACTCTGAGATTCCATAGTAAAATTCCCTGAGGAAACTAAAAGTTTTTAAACACAGCTATTTCCAGCTTCATTTTTTCCATTTAAAATAGTCTTAATTTTTATAGAAATTCTACCTAATTTATATAAAATAAAATATATGTCATTGCCAAGAATGAAAGCAAAGAGCTTACATTCTATTTTTAACACCTCTCTCTGGTTAAGTGAAGCATTTGGTAATTCATTCCCAAATTAGACAAGAAGTTAGCATATTTTAACACAAAAGTATAAGCATTATACAATGCTAAAAACTGATCCCAGCCCAGCCGGGCGTGGTTCAGTAGTTGAGCATCTACCTAGGATCCAGGAGATCATGGTTCGATTCCCAGTCAGGGCACATGCCCGGGTTGTGGGCTCAATCCCCAGATGGGGGCACGTAAGAGGCAGCTGATCAATGACTACTCTCTCATCATTGATGTTTCTATCTCTCTCTCTCTCCCTTCTTCTTTCTAAAACCAATAAAGATACAGTTAAAAAAAACACAAAAAAAACTGATCCCAAAGTTTGAGACCAGCCTTGTTCTGAAGGGGCAGACTAGAATTTCCTTATATGGAAACATGGAAAAAACATACAAGTGGGGGGGGGATGGGAGGTGAAGGGGGTCTGATATATGGTGATGGAAGATGATTTGACTTTGAGTGGTGGGCACATAGTGTAATATACAGACCTTGTAACACAGAAACCCACCTGAAAACTATATGATCCTGTTAACCAATGTCACCCCAATATATATAAAAAAAGAACGTACCTGATCATGATCAACCTCTACAGGCTGCTTCTTAATGATCCAAGTGACAGACTCGGAGAGTGGCGGGGTAGTCAGGGATCTCGAGTATGTCCAGTAGTCCAGGCAGGTGGGCATCACTAGGGTGTCCTGGCCAAGAGAAGAGGTCACTGAGTTATCACTTCATGGTGACAACCACGCAGGAATGGGATGACAAGGCAACGATTCTAGGAGTGTCTGGGGACCAGCAGTGGTCCAGAGGAGCTCCTTAGGCCCTCTGGGCACCTTAGGACTGAATCACAACCATGCCTTTCCTGCAATTAACTGTGTATTTCTGACACTCTTTAGAGGGAACACAGCAGAACCCATTTTCTCCCTCCTTTCTAGTGCGTTTCCAGCAGGTGGTCTCCTCTGAACTCTTGGGAGGCATTAGGTGGTGGCTGATGCATAAATAAGGCGGCTTCCTTTTTCAAGAGATAATAGCATCCTCCTTTCTAAAATGCAATGCAAATTAGGAGGAGCCAGGAACCTGGACTCAAAAGGGAGCAAGAGAAGAGGGAAGGAAAAAGGGGGAGATGGAAAGGGAGGGAGAGGGAAAGAGAGGGAGAATATGTGGACTTCCAGGGAGTGGCCCCTTTGGGGTTCTGAATATTGAACAACTGATCTTGGGGCTGGACAAAGGTATCCCTCCTGAAGGATATGGGTAATTGTTCTTTAAAGGTGGACAAGCCAAGTTTCTGTTCAACTTTTCTCTACTTCCTGCCTGAGAGAGGGTAGCTAGAGTCAAGAAGGCTGCTCTGAGTGTTTCCACAAGGACTGAGAAGGAGCAGGTGTCAGGAGCAGAGGAGGGGACCCCATTATGTTCCTGAGTCCTCGTGTGCTCAGTGGCATGGCAGCAAAGCCAGAGTGGTCAGTGCCCACCAAAGGAATCCACTGAGGTGCATTACATCTCCCAATACAAAGGGCCATGTTACTGTCTCTAGTCTGAGATTGAAACATAAAATATATTTCAAGTGATTTACGAAAAAAATATTACCTTATGCTTAATTGATAGCACAGTATCCACCAATTTCTTTAGCTCTTTATGATGCTTGGGTAGCTAAAGAACAACAAATGAGAAAATGTTAAAACTGGCATCTCACTCTGTCATGCGATTGCAATAGAATGTGATTTAAAATCAGACACCTGGTGACTACCTAAAAACAATCCCTGTACTGAAACTGCACTTAAACTGACAATTTAGAATGTTATAAACAGCACTGAATGAAAGCAGATACAAAACAAATGAGCAGCCTGTTTGCTGACGGGCTGGAGCCCACAGTCTGCTGGGAAAGGTATCACGTTCTCCATTAGCTCCCCACTCTGAGCCTCCCTGGCACTTGGCCCGCAGAAGCTCTAGAGGCTGAAGTTGTCAGTCAAGCCAGAGTACAGTAAGGCCAAGCTTTCAGCTCAGGCCCTTGAATCCTCAAGGGCTCTTTCCAGGAGCCTCATTGTAATAACCACGTTTTCCCAGTTTCTGTATTTCACACTTTGATATCTGTAGTCTTACTGCCCCTCCCAGGGTTAGCTAATTCCTAGAGAGAACAAACAACTGGGAACATGCCTTTCATCTGCAAACCAACCAATCCAGAGTCTAGATCCCAACCCCCTCTTTATAGGGTTCTTAATCTCTGGGCCACTATTCCTCTGCCCTAATCACCCCAGGGCCAGGAACCAGACAACTATGGACAGCTTCTCTGCCCCAGAACCCACTGAAATTATTCAAAGCACCCAATCCTAAACCTGCTTATGCTGCCTACCCCATTCCTTCCACAATAAAGGCTCTGCCCATGTCTTCCTTTTCTCTCTCTGCTTTCTGACCATCCCTGGTGCTTCCCTACATGGCCCGGTAAGGCGTGCCAAGGCCTCCTGTTTTTAGGGATCTGTGTGTATAATAAAATTCCTTCCTTCGTGACAGTCATTTCCATGTTTTGTGTGTCTTACCATACCTGATTAAACCAAATCCTGGGTCCCCTTAAAACACTGTCTCCAGAGTGGACCAAAGCAGGGAGGTTGCAGGAGGCCTGCGCCTGTGGAACCTGTAGGAGGTCAGAGGCTCTGCGCAGAGTGTAGTCCCCAGGTTTTCAATCCAGTTCTCCAGTTGCTAGTTGTGTGACCTGGCAGAAAAACACTTTACCTCCTTGAGCTTCACTTTCTTCAACTGAAAAACAGAGATGATAATAATGCCATCAAAGACCTCTTGGGAACATAAACAAAGCACTTAGCCAGAGTATAGTCACACAGCACTCATAAATATTACTTCCTTTCATGTTCATTTCCCATAGTTGTTTGCCTTTATCTTTTTATTCCATTTAAAATATATTTTTTAACTAATCTCACATTTTAACCATTTCATATTTAGGGTTATTTGCCTTATCCTTTTACACTAGTGCTTAAAAACAGAAATGTAATGTCAACCACAGAGGTAATTTTAAAGTTTCTAGGAGTCACATTTTAAAAGGGTTTTTTTTAAAAAAGAAAATTAATTTTATAAAATATTTTACTTCACCAAATATATTTAAAAGTATTTGCCTTTTCAACATGTAATCAATATGAAAATTATTGGGGCAGTTTACACTTTTTTCCATACTTCTTGAAAATCTGTTGTTTATCTTACATGTACAGTATATATCAATTTGGATACTAAATATTCATTAGAAATACTTGATTTGTATTTAAATTTCTATGTGGCTTACATCATATCATTTTATTTACTTGTTTGTTTACTTATTTTTAATCCTCACTGGAGGATATGCTTTTATTGATTTTAGAGAAAGAGGGAAAGAGAGAGAAACATCGATGTGAGAAACACTGATTGGCCACCTCCTATACGTACCCCGACTGGGGATCAAGCCCACAACATGGGTATGTGCCCTGACCAGGAATCGAACCTACAACATTTTGGTGCACAGGACTATGCTCCAACCAACCAAGCCACACTAGCTAGGGTTCACATTACATCTTATGGAGAGTGTTACTCTACACACTTGTTAGCTTTTTCTCCTGTGCTTTGCTCTGTACTGTGTTCTAACTTGAGATGTGCTATTTCCTTACCTAATTTAAGACCACCCTACTAGGCCTAGAGCTTAGTGCAGGACTGGATGCCTAGGGACCCTCCATGTGACTTTGTGGGGATGATCATAGTAAACTGCCTTATTAGAGCATCAGGACTGTAAAAGGCACTGTGATGCTGAACCCAGTTAACCACAACACACACATGCAGTTATCAACACAGGAAACTAAAGCCCTGTGTTAGTTCCCTGTAGTTGCAGATACCCTTGGGGGCCATTAATATAATCCCAAGGGGCTCTTAATCAGTCCACTGTTTCTCAAGACTACTTCAAAGTTAATGAAAGACAACATAGGCTGGGTGTCCTGGCCTATACTATCTGGGGATTGACAGAATTCTTTGTGAAGAAGACACTGCAAAACAAGCTTTTTAATAAAGTTAAGTCCTCAACATAGTTCTTGGAAACTGTGACTTTAAGCAAAACAACCTATAAGGAAACCAATTTTACCACAGGCTCATTGATATACAGAAATATGCCATAGAAACGTAACTCTTATTTACTATATCAATGAGCCTATGGTAAAACTGGTTAGTCAGTTTCCAAGAACCTATCCATGATGTTAGGTGAGGACTTACTATCTACTGTTCTCCAGGCTTTATTTGTGTTCTACACAATTAAATGGAGAAATACAGAACAACTTTCTAATACAGCTCAGTTATAATATAGACCAATCCTGTCAAACAGAACTTTCTCTGATGATGGACATTTCCAATATGGTAAGTGCTAGCCATATGTGACCATAAAATTTTAATAAATTTATATTTACATATAAATACATACATGAGGCTAGTGGCTACATATATACAGTGCCACTCTATTCCAAGTTGTCCTAAAAAGAAGTGTTTCTCTTCCTTCTAAAAGTAAGGAGATGATGAAATTAAGAATCACTGGAATAATAACAAATCTAGCCCGGCCGGGCGTAGCTCAGTGGTTGAGCATCGACCTAGGATCCAGGCGATCGGTGTTTGATTCCCGGTCAGGGCACATGCCCGGGTTGCGGGCTGCAGTCAATCAATGACTCTCATCATTGATGTTTCTGTCTGTCTCCCTCTCCTTTCCTCTCTCTGAAATCAATAAAGATATATTTAAAAAAAAAAAAAAAAGAATCACTGGAATAATAACAAATCTATACTATTTCCATTTGGATAATAGTCTTTGTATTTCATCAAATTAAGAATTAACATAATTAAATTTATTTCTCATTCCTAAATTACTTGAATGTGACAATTAGTCTAAACTGCATGGGATGATACACTAAGTGAAACATTTTATTTTCATCTCTGGTAATAGCTGCAAGGCTTTTATCTTTATTTTATCATGTTACCAGTCCCCACAGTTAAGACTGTCAACATTTACTGTCTACTACTTGAGATAACAGCAAATGGCAATTTGAGCTTACAGCCAGTGATTAGCTGGGGGGAGGGTGGGCAGTGAAGGTAAACCAGGGAGCACAGGGCTCCAGTGAAATGCTACTTTCTGAATTTGCCATATCTTCCTCCTTCATTGACAGCTCAATCTGCTTCACCCCATCCTAAAAGTGGTCAGACTGAAACACTTGAGGGAGGCACTGAGCCGTTTTGTCAGCAAAAAAGAAGCAAAACTATCCTAAAGATATGAGCATATTGGATTTTAGACTTATACCTTTCAACTTTCTGTTAAAAAAGCAAAACTTTATAAACTAGATAAATAACTTTTTTTTTTTTTCACTTTAAGCCTCACAGTGCCAGTGTTGAGAATATGCCAGTCTGGGTAGGATGTGGGCTTGCTGGTAGGAAGCCACATCCAGCAACCAGAACTGTATTAAACTCTGGGCAGTTCATTTTAATGAGAACATGGCCAATGTGGGAGGAAACAGAATACACTCTCAGTAAAAATGTATCGATGAAGCAGTTTCAAATCCTTGGGTTTAGCTAGATTAGAATTACTACTGAATTCCTTTCCTTATCTGCATATAGAGTCAAAAAGAATAAACCCTAGGAGGAAAAGGTTAAAAATCTATAATTTTGACTGAAGCAAACATCTGAAAACTCCGTTAATTATGGTGAAAAGTGAATATATAAAATACACATAGCCATTTCATTAAACTCATCTCTTCACCTGCACACACATTATCCTTTGCAGTCAACCCAGTGTTCTCTACCAGGGTTACTTTGTTCCTCAGGGAACATTCAGCAGTCCTGAAACATTTAGGGATGTCATCCAACATCAGACAGTGCACAGGACAGCCCCTCACAACACAGAATGATCCACCCCCTGTCGGTGGTGCCACAGTAGAGAATCCTGCCCCATAGAGACGTGGATGGTAACTGGCCATAAAGCAGGGGCATGACATGCGAGAGGTTACAGTGAAGACCTGCTCCTCACTTGATCTGCTGTGTTTACAGCAGAACACACACTTGACAAGTTGCTCAGCCAGAAGTAACTACAGTATGGAACTCAGGAAAGAGTATTCCAGAGTGTGATGCTACTGTTCTGAACTGCTGGAAAACATTTAACATGCATCTTCCAGAATGTTCAGATCCACAGAAATCATTCAGTCTGTGGATCAACCATAATGAAAAGACAATTGCTAACAAGAAACAATAAAAAACTGGTTCCAAAGTATTTGGAACTGGGATATCTCCCTTGTCCTATTTCTGCATGACATCATTTTAACATGTTAAAACTGGTCAAGAAAAGGGCTTTCCAAACCTTACTGTGGTAGTCATTTTGCAACATACACGTGTATCAAATCACCACGGGGTACACCTTAGACTTACACGTGTCGTGTGTCAATTATAACTCAGTAAAGCTGGGACAAAAAGAAGTTTCCACATTTCTTTTAGAGGACAGATAGAGAAACAACTAGTAAATTCTCACAGTTCTTAAGGCATCTAGACCCACTCTGGAAAGCCACTGACATCCTATCCACAAATCCTTAATTAATACGTGTGATCGTTATGAAACAAGCCTCCTGCTCTCCTTCCAGCAGCAGGGTACTCACAGGCTCGGTTCCGGGTTTTGTAAGTGCAGGTGTAGAGGCTGCAGGGCCTCACTGGCAGGGACCTCAGAATCTGGAATCTTCCCCACAGCGATTTGCATGGAGAGGCTTGAAGGACGACCCTCAGGTTACTCATCACTACCATCTTTGGCTTGAAGTCTTGGTGAGTTGGCAAAGAACTTGCAGGAACCTAATAACCCAGAGGCAGGAGGACACAGGAGGAAAAGCTGTAAACAGTAGAGATGGAAGATCACATGGAATCCTCTAAGTCAGACCACAACATCCAGACTATCAGTACACACTGTGGGGATGAGGGAGGCCCAAACGAGAGCCAACAGTTTATCTACTTTTGTTCCTCAAACTCACTGGTCACCTCACTGGCAGGGGCTGGATGACTGACTCAGGCGCCCTGCCTTTCCATTGGGGTTGGCAAATATTAGAGGTCCAGAGAAACAATCCTCTTGAATCACAAGAATGAATAGACTGTTTACAGTACAGTTTCTTAAAACTAAAAAAGATAGCCTGGTCAGGCGTGGCTCAGTGGCTGAGCATCGACTTAGGATCCAGGCAATCGGGGTTCGATTCCCGGTCAGGGCACATGCCCGGGTTGCAGGCTCGATCCCCAGTTGGGGGCACGCAGGAGGCAGCCGATCAATGACTCTCTCATCACTGATGTTTCTCTCTCTCTCTCTCCCTCTCCTTTCCTCTCTCTGAAATCAATAAAGATATATTTTTTAAAAATTTAAAAAGATATACACTTCCTGATACCCAAATTGTCCAACAAGATATTTATATATGAGAAGCAACCAAAGATTAAAGCTCCCTCCAGGCAGCCTGAATAAAAAAAAGCAATCTGCATCTGGATTTCTTAGAAAAACAAAAAACAACCCAAGACACATTCTGCCAAAACAGTCATGGGTCGTTTTGAAATCTAAGCTTAGCTATAACCTGTGACTGACAATTTTAGGTGTAACACTGTTTCCCTTGGTTAATGGGGAAAGTGCAGAAGGTTAACCCTGAACTAATCTACAAGTAGATTCAATTTGAATATTCATGAATGGCTGCACTGATAACCTCCCTACCCCTCACATGTTCACAGTTGCGTCTCAGAAGTGGGTGCTTTCCAAGGCATTCACTACAGTGCTCTCAAATTATGGTAACGTTAACTTTGAATGCTTCTTCCCCACTCCCCACTCAATGCTTCATCTCCTTTTCCTGAAATCTGCTATCCCTGAACCAAGTAAGCAAAGGTCAAAAACGAAAGAAAAACAAACTTTTCTTCTTGATTATTCATTCACTCCACTATAGATTTCAAAGTGCTTAGAGTGATTACTTGAGATGCATTCAGACAACTGTTCAGGTCACCATTTGAGCAACAACGAGTGTGGTTTGGCTGCAAAGCTGGATGCTTTAGCCCTCCTGACCTCTCAGCCTCATGTCCAATTCACTCCTTTCTGCACACCAGCCACATGGACTTTGGTTTTTCCAACTGCTGTTGCTGTCTAGCCTCAGTGTTTATGTAGATGCTCCTCCTTCCCTGGACCACACTTACTGTCTCAGTGCCTAGTTAATTCCTACCCAACCCTTGATGACCCTATCCAATGTCACTTCCTAGAAGCCTCCCTAGACTGGGGCCTCTTTTGGTGAGCCCAGGGCCCTCTTCTTGGTCACAGTGTTCATCACAGTTGAATTACATACCTCACCAGGAAGGTAATTTATGATTCCATCTCCCCAGTGTCTAAGCCCCATGGCAGTAGGAAATATGTTTCCTCATCATAGCTGCATCCCTTAGAGACACAGTGCCTGGCACATGATGGCTACTTAATGATCTGAGTAGGGGGAGAAGACCTTGATCTATAAAGATGGTAACATAGGCTGGATGGGTCGCAGGGAAGGTAAGCTCTCTGTGCTATATTCCCTTTGCTATCACTGACTATGTATGCTGTTAGATTTTACTTACACATTCTTCATCTGTTTTGTAGACTTAGAAATGTGTGAAAGATGAAAATATTCTAACCACCTTTTAAAATCATTCATAAATCATGTACTTATTAAATGTCTCAGCTATATGAAAGAAAGTAAAAAAAAAAGTACCTACTAAAGGTTACAATTACAATGAAAAAAATTCCTTGATTTTTATCAGATTAACGATTCATTTTCTCACCTCCTGACATAGAAAGGAAGTCAGCCTCTTGCAACTCTCTGAAATTTAGAGGTTATGTTTCTATGTCTTGACTGAGAAAGCTTAGCCTCCTCCTTTCACCCACTTTTTTCCCCAAGAGTATGTTCTTCGGAAAGGTTTGCCAAAGGTTTCAAAATATATTTCTTAACCTGTTTTGTGTGCTGCCCCAGTGCAGCCTATGATATGAAATGCACTTCCCTCTTTCCTTCAGATTTTCACAATATTTATCTTCCGCCAAAATTCACTTAACTTTTATTGTGTTCCGACTACGAGTGGTGGTAACCTTTTACGTGGCAGGTGTGCACAGGCACAGGAATGGAGCCCTTGCCGAATTTGGCTTTTATGTGAATTTCAGTGCTGAGTTTACAATCTCTGAGTAAAGGAGAAAAGCCCTAGAAAACGGAAAGGTTTTCATTTCCAAAATATTCAAGAACAGTGCAGTTCCTTACCAGGGCCAGAAAGGGAAGGTGGGTAGAGTGAACTTTGGTTCACTGTAGATGCCAATGCAGGCTGCGAACAGGAACCTTTCTGAGGGATGTGCACGGCCAAATTATGGGTAGGCTGGAGGGCACCTTCCTACCAGAGATTTCTGACTTCTCTCCATATTGCAGCAAGACTTTTAAATAGCAAAGTGGAGATAGCCAGATTGTAAGTAAAGGAAGAAGGGAAAGCAGAAAGCAACGTGGTTTTCACTGTCTGACAGAATAAATCCTACCCAAATTAAGGTGTACACATGTTCATTATCTCCCCATATTTCTCAAACTTTCTCAGCAAAAATAAACAGGGGTGTGTGT